ACCAAAACATGACAGAAATCCATGAAGTCATTGACAAGTGGACTGAGTCATGTCGGTAATTGTCGACTACCTGGTTGGGGTCCGCGAGATGATAATAATCGATGGTTAGAGACCTTGAATGACAGGGCTCAAAATCGTTCGCAATGGCGCCAGTGCATTTATTCTTTGTGTTCTCTCAAATCCTAATCTTCTGAGTTCTTCAACACCTCTAGCTTTTACTTTCTAAACTTATCTCATTGAATCACACTTCGTCAATAATATCTTCTAATTCTAACCTCTCCGATTCTTTCTAATACGTTAACTACCTCTTCTACTATTGGATTTGAATTGACAATTACATATCTGTGCTGATGTGGTATGTCGACATGAACTGGTGTACTTAAGTACGAAGTTCTACGTTGCATCTGACTGACTGACTGACCAGAATCTCAGGTCCTGAGTGGTATCCACTCAATAGTTCACGTTGAAATGTTAATACATGGGCATTCTCCTTGGTTCTCCTGAAAATCAATCTAAAATTAACATTTCGAACGGAGGTTTAATTTATATATCGACGTCACTTCACCAGATGAAAGGATGATAGTGTCATTTACAACGATAAAATTCGCCAAAATGTTCTCAAAACTACCTACAGAATGGTCGGAAAATTAAGGCACCAATCTCATAAGCATCATGATATACATGAACTTCAGAGAACGACTAATTTTATTGACCGAAATTAATCATCACAAAGCAAGCTTCATTTAGCCGAACGGAATCAATGTTCAGAAAAAAACTTTAACCTGTCCATACTCCAGCTTTTCAAATTCTGCTAAACATTTAACTCTGCTACTATAACCACATTCTTTATGATTAGATTTAACAGCAACCTTCATTTGAAACTCTTAGTTGCTTGGGCAGTATACATATATTCATTTATCTGCGGACACGCGACTTGTGGAGAAGCTACTGGATACACGCGAATTTGCTTACTAGGACAGTCAAGGGTAGAGTTCCGATTTTGGGTAACTTTAAGGCTCTATTCTTACGCAGATTACATTTGATACTATCATAAGCCTCCTTCCAAAAACTCTTATCTCGCTCATTTCCTATTCAAATTATCTCGTTTTTCGTCCTTAAATCTTCAAGGAATCATGTTCAGTAATGGCCTCGCTACAACTTCTTACACTATAACAATTAAGAAAACTAGTAAAGATATGAGCTCCGTGGTTCGTAGTAAGCCTCAGATTCTCACTACTAGAATAGACTAAAATTAGGCGGGAGAAAGAAGTCCCACTGCTCAGTCGACACAGTCTGTGTTTTGGGAAAATCCCTCTATGTACGTATTTGTAATATGATCTTACTGACTATTTCTGTGATACATTTTGATCGTCAATTTAATCCCATTTCGGGATGTTAATATTTGTATTTTAATATAATTTCTATTTTTTTTATACCTTTATTGGAGTTTCTATGTTTCCTAATGGACTGCATTAGGTTGTTTAGGTCGATACCTAATTATGGCTTCAGCCATATCGGATTTGATACCTTGGCGGGTAAAACGTGCATCTGAACTGGAAGGGTTCAATTTTGGACCTATACAGATGCATTCTTCCAGAATTGGAAACACATCGTGTTACTTTCGACGGAAAACAGTGTAACATTGTTTAGGTAATTGTCTGTAAATTTTAATTAATAATAGAACCGTTTCCTACCCAGATAACTTGCTTTCTTTTTGGGATATCCGGGCAAGGCACGTATCTAAACTTCTAGAACTGCTTTTCCGAAATCAGAACCCACCCTGAATGTAACACAGTCTATCATTCAAAAATCACAAAAGGATAACTATATCACCTGCTAGATACCGGTCAAAACTAGTGACTCTGCATTCGAATGCAACTTATGCAGTACATGAGTTCACTGTCACTGGGACACCACGGAACCTAGAGCGTAAATGGGTCCATTCTCTGTCACCCTTGTCCGTGGTTCTCGTATACCTTTCCACAAAGTAGAATCACTGAGAATAAAAATGTTTTAGCTCATGTTCCAGTGCCAGAGGGTAGCTTACTAGAAGATAGGTCTGCCTTTGATAAAGAACGAAGGGACAAGTACTGCACAGTCCCCGGAACGAGCAGTACACTGGCCAAAATATATCGTCTTTTCAAAAATTAGAACGTCGCAAAATGGAAAACCCCTTCGTTGAGGGTAACCTTAGACCCGTGACCAAAGAGCAGACTAATATGGTAGTTTATGGCATGCCCGAGCTGATAGCTTGGACGTAGCAACGCTGATGACATGATAGCTATCACCTAGCATGGCCTTCACACCACCATAGTAACTGACATTTACCGGCTGCCTCGTCCACCACACCCGACAACCGTTAATCCTCTATAACTTTCGGCTATGGACTTCAGAAATCGAGGAGACCTAACTGAGGGGCTTGAAGGTTGGTGCAGCAGGAAAACGATCTCCTCAGTCACACTTGGGTTAAACGAGGCACTGAACGATTGCTACAGGCGAAAAAGAGGGCTAGGCACAAGTTGAAGTCTTATCTGATGGATTCTGACCGTAGTTATTACTTGTAACTCAGAAACACATTGCAGTGCCATAGTTCGAAGCTAGCTCCCAAAATAGAGGCCAACCCCAAGCATCTGTTTTGGTTTATGATAAAAAGAAAACCAACAAACCGTGGTGCTTGTACTCTCGAAGGTCTAAATAGCGAAGATCTTACTAACGTAGAAATGGCTGAGATCTTCAACACGAACTTCATCAATTAATTAAACCAAGTACCTATACTTTTAGACTGCTACTCAAACATGGTACCACTTGATGGCCTAGGAAATATTGCACTTACTACTGACCGAGTACTAGGAAAACTGAAATCTTTGAGTCCAGGAAAATTAACAGGATGTGACAATATTCGCCTCATAGTCTTGAAAGTGTGCAGAAGCCCTCAGTTAACCGACATGCGATACGTTCAGGCATTCACTGAAGTGACATCAACTACCAGCTCAATGGAAATAAGCTACTCTCTATCCATTCTTCAAAGGGGGAGATAGGAATGACTCAGCCTCTTACAGATCAGTCACATTATTGTCAATACTATGGAAGATATTCATCATGTAGAAAAATCTAGCTAAACGACACTGATCTGAACAGACGATGCAAAGATCTGGAGGTCCATTAGAAGCGAAGAGTATTCAACTGAGCTTTAAAAGGGACCTAAAATATATCGAGGAATGGTCAGTGACAAACGGTTTAAAACCAAACTGACCGAAACATCATGTTACGTACATTCTTCCTTACGTGAGACAAACGACTCACATCCTCAATGGAAGTCCGCTCCCTAATGTTTCTTCAGAGAGCTATCTCGGTTTAATAACCACATAAAGCCTCCACATCAGTTCGAACTATATAGGGTACGCAGCTAAAGTAAATGCGATTCTTCACTTTATGCGAAGACTACTCGGTGTCATCACCCCACAATAACACATCTACAACATCCATACTTCAGCTCCTTCGACAGTCCTCTTTTTCAAATCTTCTGTCACCATTTTCGTGACTGAACACATAAAATTAGAGGCTCTCCTCATATAAATCTCTTTAAGTCATGTCGCTGACTAAGAGTAGAAGAGATGATAGGTCGTTTACTAAAATAAAAAAACAGGAGAGGACCAAGGTATAGACCATATTAATAGAGCCGCATTTACTTCAACCTCACCTAACGTATTTTTTCTAACTGGGGAAGTCATTTATCTAGTTTACAATCGCCTGGTGCATTCCAAAACGATGCATTTCACATTAGGACCTAGGTTAGAGACCTTTTCGAAGGGTTTACTTAAATTGATTAAAACCACATACACTGCAGTCCAATCTTCTCTTGCAATAAGTAGATTTGTCAAGTTCGTATGGCCATTCCTTGGTCTGAAATCAAAGTTGTGGGTCCGGATACAGGACGAACAACAGCATATTCCGTGAAGATCATTAGGAGGCAACTATCGAAGGAATTTAAGATAATACATAATGAACTAAGTTTGAACAGAATTAACATTTGGCAGAAATAATTCAAGCTAAAGTGGATCAGGCATGCTTATGATTGTAGTAAATATACAGAAGCAATTAATTCATTAACAGTATGAAGATCGGTCAATCGTTTAGAAATGTCCAACAAACGGTTCCACATTTATGATGGGGGACCTAAACCACAAGATTGGGATGGAGAAAACCGAAAATAAAGACATCATGGGACGATATAGGCTGGGAGAATGGGATGAAAACGGTGAGAGATTCTTAAACGTGTAGGTCTTCCATAAAATGGTCACAGCCGGCACCAATGTCCCACACAAACACATGCACAGAACTACATGGATTTTACCAGATCACACTAAACAAAACCAAAATCTATCACTTTTGAATCAATAAACAGTTCGGAAAGATCATGGAGGATGTAGGAACAAAGTGAGGAGTTGATATTGGCTTTACACCACCAAGATGAAACTGAAACTAAAGAAGCACTAGACAATCAGGTGAACAACTCCACGAAATGTTAATACAACCTTTCTTCGGAATACTGATAAACTCAACAAATTCAAGGTAGCTCTCAGCAAAAAGTTCCAGGCCTCTCACAATCGACCTAATGAAGAGGAAACTACCATGGAGAACAATTGGAAAGTGACTGAATAAACAATAACTGCGGGGTGGATAGGACATACTGCGGAAACCATCCAATTGCACCACATGGCAAGCCCTCCTTATGAACCTTCAGAGCCGACAGAAAAGAAAGGAAGAACTAAAGAAACACAATGTATCCAGAATCGGAAACAAACATGAACACAATGAATAGCGATTGAATAGAGCTAGAAAGTAAACGAGGCCCAAGGCAGAGTTAATAGTTGAGAATGCTGATCGGTGGTACGCTTCATCAGGGCGAACAAGCATAAGTAAGTAAGCTTAAATAAACGATGTATTAGACAAAATTCAACTTGATAAGCCTTTTTCTGTAGTCAGTAAAAAAAACATAATGAAATAGAAGATACTTTATTTAACTAACAGTCTATAGAAGTGCATGATATTAAAGGACAACGCCTTGAATTCATAACTTTAAGATTTAAAGTCAACCTCTTAAATGACAATAAAATAAAATAAAATGCAAAATTAAAAAAAATCAACATATTAATAATTCAAATAATGAGTAATGTAATACAATAAACATAAAAAAAATATAGGACAGATTAGCATACCAATGTTTGATGTTGGTTGGTACAAAGAAAAACCGATCTAATAATAATTCTCAGTCTGTATCGGTTATTATGTACAAAAAATAAAAATAAGAAGTAAATTTGTGTGTAATGTTAAAAAAAAGCATTGATTAGCTATTTAAAAGTACAGGGAGAATTTGATTTGACACATGTATCATTAGAAAATATCGACATATTTTTTGGATCAATCCATGAAAAGCCTTGACTGACAATTTTCTCTTCATCATCATCATCATTATCCTTGGAATCTTTGTAATTCTGTTTTGTTTTTTTTAATTTGAATAGAATAAAACATGAACATTTGAGAAAATATAAAGAACTTATAAGGATAATAACATTTAGTATTTACAGAAAAAGAAAACCACAGTAAGAAATCACTTTTATGTTATATAACTAAAGATAATATTTACGAAGGCGTGGAGCCCATCTACGGCTACTGCCGGTTCCAAGTCCTATCCCATAAAAAAAACTAACTCCCTAAAAAAAAACGTTAACCAGAAAAAAATGATTCAAACCATTGATAACAATGGTCAATATATATATATATATATATATATATATATATATATATATATATATATATATATATATAACCAGACACCTTTCAGCATCAACCTACTGTGGGAGAGAACAAACCAGATTCCAGCAGAGGAGGAAATCAGGAAGAAGCGGTGGAAGTGGATAGGAAACATATTGCTTAAAGCACCAAACTACGTCACATGAAAAGCCCTCACTTGGAACCCTCAGGATAAAAGGAAAAGAGGAAGGCCAATCAACACATTATGCCGAGAAATGGAGACAGACATGAGAAGAATGAATAAAAATTGGGCAAAATTGGAAAGAGAAGCCCAGAACAGAATAGGTTGGAGAATACTGGTCGGCAGTCTATGCTCCATTGTGTGTAACAGGCGTAAGTACGTAAGTAAAAGTAATTAACCAAAACTAAATGTATACTATGGTATGGAATATTATTCATTAATATATACAACGAAATCTTTGATTAATTTATACGTTCTGACAGGCGAATACATCTATACAAATATAGAAAATCTTTTTCAAGTAATTTACCAAATAATACAGTAACTGGCTAACATGATAACATTAATACCTGCAGATAAAACATCTCATTAATTTAATTATTATACCATAAAACCATAAAATTTGTATTTTTCTTTTCTCAAAAAAATTTATCGGTGACTACTTTTTTTCTCATAATTGGTAATAAGTTACCATTAAAATATTTCATGGACAATTGTTATCACTTATTATCTATCTTATATCGATTTTTGTTTTAACGTATTCCTCCTTTTCATGTTTCAATCATTATTACATTAACAAATAATGAATGATTTATTACTATTTCTAATACTATGTCGAAAATGTTGTTAAATTACGTGACATTTTCTTTTCGCCTAAGGTTATAATTTTCATATTACAGGATAATCAAAACTGTTTAAGAGTAGTTTCTTTATTTAAAATAGAATCCAAATATGAGAATATAGTATTGAACATTTAATTAATCAGATTACAATTGAGCATTATTTACGGGTTAAGTTAACAACTCAATAAACAAACACATCAACAGCAACAACTGTGCATCTAATTATATGAGCACACATTTAGAACTATATCAATCAACCAATCAACAGCAACACAGAACTTCGTACGTACGTACATCAGTTCAAGTTGCTATACCACATTAGCACAGAGATGTAAATGTCAATTCAAATCCAATAGTAGAAGAGGTAGTGAAAATATTAGCAGTAATCGGAGAGGTTAGGGTTCGAGGATATTATATTCAAGAAGTAGAATCCAGTGAAATAAACTTAAAAAGAAAAAGATAAAGGTGATGTGGAACTCTGAAGGTTAGAATTTGAGAGAACACAGAGAACGAATGCACCTAAGCCATTGCAAACGGTTTTGAGTCAAGTCATTCAGGGTCGATAACCATCGACTACTATCATCTCGCTAGCCCCCAAACCAGGTAGTCGACACCTATCAACATGATTCAGTCATTTTGAACTATAAATGTAAACTGTTAATCGTCTACTACTCAGTATTGATAATCTTACCCTAAAAATGTTTTTATCAATATAGAAGGATCAAGAATTTGAATTATCAGCATGAATTTGTCAGCTTAACAAGTATATAAATAGTGATCAGATTATTCGAAATATATATTGTGCTGACAATTTAACATTAATCGGTACATGATATTAGGAGATGAGTTTGATGATCGTACAATTACATTAGTCCATTTTCGCTGAAATTCAAGCTTAGTTTAAACAGGTTAACACAACAACCTGTGAACTACTGTGATCCTGATAAACCTAACCGAATCCAATTAAATACTGTTTAAGTTTCCGCTATTGGACAATGAATGTTAAAGTATACGTCTTTGTATCGCCTTCTCTGGGTCAGATGGTTTGATTATGAAGTATTCGTTGTTGTTGATGGAAATAGTACCTTAGTTCATATGCTAATAAATAACCAGATCATTCTGTTAGGACGGGTTTTAATTAGGTTTTAATTTATTGTAGAATGATTGCCTTACAAACGGAATTTCCTCTAATGGCTTATAACATTATTTCGTGTTCTTTGTGCTAATATTTTGTATGCAAGCATATCATTTTTTAAAAACTGAAATGTTGGTCAATGATCTTGTCTATGATTGATTTCGAAATAGCGGTTTCCAGCATTTAAGCATGGAAATATCCAGAGAAATTTGGTGGGGAAACTGTAAAATAACCTTGGAATCAAAGAATGAATTAGATGAAAATAACATCACATTGTACTTCGCAGATGATGACAGTCGGACAAACAAAGAGACTTATCCTCAATATAGTTAGAGAATTAGTTTGTGACATGTAGTGTCACACTTCACATGGTTGTGCTTTCAGGGCTTTTGTCAACGTAATGCAATCAATTACATATGCTCATTACTTGCAAATGAGTGACTACGCTGAAAAAAACCTCGTGAATAAGTGTAACTCACGCAAACAATTTTCTCAAACTACCTAGAAATTTTCTTTAGACGTTAAGAAAGTCCAACAACTAAACAATCAGTCAGTTAGTTGCAACGTAGAACTTCGTACGTATGTACATAAGTTCATGTTGCCATACCACATTATTAGCACAGAGACGCAAATGTCAAATCAAATCCCATAGTGATAAAGATAGAAGAGGTATTAATGGAAATGAAGAAGACTAAGGTTTGAAGATATTATTCAAGAAGTATAATTCAGTGAGATAAGGTTAGAAAGACAAAGGTAGATGTGCTGACGAATCCACAAGATTAGGATTTGAGAGAGCACAATGAATGGATGCACTTGCGCCATTGCAAACGATTCTGAGCCACGTCGATCAAGGTCTTTAACCATTGGTGACTTTCGTCTCGCTGACCCCAACCAGGTCAGTCAGTCAGTTGCAACGTAGAACTTCGTACGTAAGTACATCAGTTCATGTTGCCATACCACATCAGCACAGAGATATAATTGTCAATTCAAATCCAATAGTAGAAGAGGTAGTAAAGGTATTAGAAGTAATCGGAGAGGTTAGGATTAGAAGATATTATTCAAGAAGTATGATTCCGTGAGAAAAGTTTACAAGTCAAAACTATAGGTGTTGAAGAATCCAGAAGATTAGGATTTGAGAGAACACAGAGAATAAATGCACCGGCGCCATTGCGAACGATTTTGAGCCATGTCATTCAAGGTCTCTAACCATCGATTATTATCATCTCACGGACCCCAACCAGGTAGCCTACATCCACCAACATCACTCAGTCCACTTGTCAGTGACTTCATGGATTTGTGCCATGTTTTGGTTTGGCCGCCCCTAACTTTCTTCCAACCTACTCCTATACCACAAAACATAGCTCGTCGAGGCAGTCGACAACTAAACGATAAGTATACAGGAAGCAGTATTCTTTTGTCCAAGTGTTTATTCCAGCAGTCAAAATATCTCGCGATAAGCTACTTGCAATTCTAACGAAATGCAATGAAGAATGGTACCTTTGGACCCATCCTCATAGAACTTAACTAATAAGAGTTCACCCCTAGCTCTGTATCCAATGCTTTTATTACTAACTTATTCCTAAAACATTCCTCGTGAAATTCCAGTAGTTCATCAAACTTTCACGAAACCTTATAATATCCTATTTTGATAAGTCGAAGATTTTCAGCATACTTGTCAAGTTAGTGCCAGGATGAATACCAGCTCTATATTATACAAATAATCCAAACTCACAAGTCAAAAGAAAAGAATTGCTTTTCGTATAGCAATGTCAGTCAGTCAGATGCAGCGTAGAACTTCGTACGTAAGTACATCAGTTCATGTTGCCATACCACATCAGCACAGAGATGTAATTGTCAATTCAAATCCAATAGTAGAAGAGGTAGTAAAGGTATTAGAAGTAATCGGAGAGGTTAGGATTAGAAGATATTATTCAAGAAGTATGATTCAGTGAGATAGTTTAGAAAGTCAAAACTAGAGATGTTGAAGAATCCAGAGGTTGAGGATTTGAGAGAACACAAAAATAAATGCACCGGCGTCATTGCAAACGATTTTGAGCCATGTCATTCAGGGTATCTAACCATCGAATATTAACATCTCGCGGACCCCAACCAGGTAGTCGACAACTACCGACATGGCTCAGTCCACTCGTCAATGACTTCATGGATTTCTGCCATGTTTTGGTTTGGCCGCCCCTAACTTTCTTCCAACATGCTCCTACACTACAGAACAAAGTTCGTCAAGGCAGTCGGTGTTTAGGCATACGCAGCACATGTCCCAACCACCTCAACTGATGAAGTTTCAGTACTTAATCTATTGATCTGCCATTCTTACCTAGCACCAGATTCCTAATAACAGCGTTGCTCACTCGGGTGTCCCACGATATACGAGCAATGCTTCGAAGACACCTATGATCGAAAACCAGTAACCTACGAATATCTCCTACTCTCACTGGCCATGTTTCACAGCCATAAATAGAGAACGGAGCGAACCTGCTGCAGCAGTACACTTGTCCTTTAGTCAGCAAACGGATATCTCGCCTACGCCATAAGTGACGCAGGTTGGCAAAAGCCAATCGAGCCTTCTGTATCCGTGCTGAGATTTCGTCAGTCACCAGGCCATCGGCACTGATGAGACTCCCAAGATAAGGTGAAGCGGTCTACACGTTCGACCACTTCACTCCATATCACTAGTTCAGGTGCCGATGCAACCCAGTCTTGAAGCAACATTTTGCATTTGAAAATGAAAGTTTTCTGAAATAAACATCTTGACAATTACCTGTAGTAAATTTCGTGCATCATTCAATAAACTGTCACTTGTCCATCCAGAAAGACTAGGGTAACACACAATAAAACAATGGAAATTCATGGTTAGCAAACACACACACACCAATCATCATTAGAACAATGAACAACAACAACAACAAAAAGTTAATTCTTGAGGGATTCGCTTTAGGACGACACACTAAATCTTTATATAATTTAATAACCTTACATTTCTCTTGAGTACATCGTCAAAGACTTAATATATTTTTACTCTTTTTATTTCATCAAATAAATTAGTTTTATTAGCAATGAGCTCTAAAGCATAACTCTACTTAAAAACTAATTGAGTAGTAAATTACTAATTGAACAAAATTTATATCACTCAAATGATTGCTTATGAATATAATCATACACTTTGTAACAGACTTAATGTAGCTGTAATCTGAAGTGAGTCATACTGAAAATTTTGAAACCTGTTCATTATGTGCCAAAGTAACTTAAAAAAATTATCCCTAATATTATCATTATATATATTTTTCAAATTATCACATTTTCGCGCAAACTATGAACTGTATTGAGATGTTTACTTTCCTCTAAATTGTTCACAGTCGATGATTCCTTTCTCCTGACCGTAGCAGCTACCTTGACGTGGTGATCGAGCTTGCCTATCGTGGTGGCCCAACAGAGTTACATCGCCTGCCACATTGTTTTTTCAGGTCATACCATGCCAGGCAGGTCGACTGAAGAACGATAAGACTAAAAGCAGCAAGTTAAGGTCTAACGGCGAAGTCGTACTGCTGACTGTAGTGGAGTGTAGCGGCAGTAAGGTTTTTCCCTCGGAAGACCTACATCTGCAGCGATGCTGCCTTTTCACAAAAGAAGGAACGGGCTGCAAAAGGTCGACCCTAAAAATGTAACACCTCGCCTTATCCCAAAGATTTCCGTCTGCAGCGGTAAGGCCTTCTTAAGAGCAGAGCTAACAGGTTAAAACTTCTAATAGAAAGGGCCATTTGTGGCCGGTCTTGAGCAGTTGTCCCTTGGTATCTGAGGTCACGCTCCCAGATCGTTAAGACCAACGCTAACCCAACTTCCTTTTCACGTTAATCAAGAAGTACTCTTTAAGGTGTGGGCAACCGAAAATTAGCATCCGCCCTCATAACCCTAACAGCATTTCAGATCAACTTGCTTACAGTCGAATATTTCACCCACCTCTTAATAACTCTTTTATTTCAATGACCAACCCTTCTTTCATTCTTTTATCACCTTGCGCCGCTGATGCAAATATTCCGAGTAAACGAAATATTATTCCTAAAACCCCGCTCTAAACTACATGCTGGAGTTTTGATATTCAAATCTTGTGGCAAGTAGGACAACAGGCTTCCTTAGCTTTAGAATTTCGCGCCACCGATGTATGCTTCGTCTCCAAAACACGCATACAGGATCTTAGTAAAATAAATAATTTGGTTTCACCTTGTCACAATAAAGAAGCAGCTCGCTTTACCCTTTGTGTACCTGGCAGCCGTGATGCTGCTTCTCGGGGTCTCGCTGGCGTAGGTATAGCATTGAGTCCTAGGACAGAACCAGATCTCCTAAACTAGATCCCAGTATATAGTCACTTGTGCGCTGTCCGACTAAATGGGACAGTGAGGACTCGGAAAGATAGGGACACGCCGTCGCTTCTTCGTCGTATCTGCTTGTGCGCACACTGATCGCATTTTAGACGAGGTGAAAGATGAGTTCTACAGAAAGCTTTCGGACCTCCCCCGAAAAGTCAGGCGCTCTGATATAGTAATAATGGCTGGTGGCTTTAACGTAGTTCAGACGAGGTAAAAGACAAGTCTTACAGAAACCTTTTTAACCTTCTAAAAAAAGTTGAACGCTCTGATATAGTAATGATGGTTAGTGACTTCGATGCTCAAGTAGGTAAACTAAGAGAAACTGAAAGACACCTGGGTGGATCTCATGGTTTCGTTGGTTATCGAACAGATAGTGGCGACCGTCTGCTGCAGTTATGCTAAAAAAAACCACCTATTTCTAGTAAATACTAACTTTGAACATAAGGAAAAACATCTGCTGATATGGAAACCCCCAAAATCGACTCATCACTGGACCCGACTAGATCACATTGCTATCAGCAACTGATTGAGGCGCGGTAAAAGACTTCCGATCGTTCCGAATCACATGATTAGACTCAGACCATGTTCTATAACTAGGAGGATGCAATGAGATTAGAAGTATATGAAGATCAAAGTCGTTGAAATACTTCTTGTATATCTTAAAATCATACTTTGGTCAAAGTAAATAGTCTCAAGTATATAGTGTACGCTTATCGATAGGATTGGGAAAATAATTAACTTATCATACAACATTCCAAAGATAATTTAAGTCAAAACTTAGAGATACTGAGTATAACTCAAAACCAATGCAGGTAGAACAGGTTTAAACGCTTTCGACCTTTCTACAAATTCAAAATTTCTTCTTGCGTTTAATATACTTACAGCTAAATAGTGAACAAATTGATCTGATATGCTTTTAGGGGTAAAAGGGAGAATTTCACTTCCCAGCTGCCCAAACTGTGGAACTTACAGTCAGGTAATACTTTTATAGCAATACCGACGCAATATGTTAGTCAATATTTTCAGTATGAGATCCGATATAATTACTTACTTCAATGAAGGGATATCCTGTGAAGATTGCATCCACACAGAGAGTTTAGAAACGCAAGCTTTAGCTTGGTTATCGAATTCTTCGGATGATGAATCAATGCATTAGCTGCTTCTGGATTAGCATACTTAATATCTCTCATGTTTTTAAAACAAGCAGTTTGTTCAGCAAGTGCTGAAACCATGATACTTGTTGGGCTAGTTAACATTCGTTTAAATGATGAAAGAATTATGCCAGATATGGTGCTTGTCTGGATTCCATACAGGGAATTCCCATGTAACGTGTTTACTTCGTCCTGTATCCCAGGTCTACGTGATGATGATAGAGAATTCTTTAGATAAATAGATCTTGTCTAAAAATGAAAAGAATGACGATACGTAAGAACACACATAATCGTAGATACGAATGCCTAATAACATAGTAAAACCGTGATTATGACCTAAATATATGATACACACGTACACATACAATCTGCTCCTAACAATGCCCTGGTAACAGTGTAGAAGATGGAAAGAGTTCGCTCAAGCGATCTCGAAATATTCCTCATAGGGACAAACGCGTAATATAGCAGCTGTCAGGTAAATCCTACTCAGTGCCTTTTGCGGCGATGTTGTCCTAAGAAATTATACTAAAAAGGGCACGCAAAGGGGGAAGGCTCGGGGATTATACAATATGATATTATGATACTCATTCACGTATTTTGAGCTCCACATTGATGAAAGAGTTAGTTTTATTGGCCTTTAGTTTAAGAAATGTCTTTCTCATAATCACTAGGTTTCTACAGGCCGCTTACAAACACATGCAGCAGAATAGCCTATTCCAGGGAACATCAAGTTTGATAAACAACACAAATTACTATGCAAGATTTCGCACCTTTACTGTACGGATCAGAAAACCTGACGATTGGAGTAAGCTATCAACTTAGAAACTGTGTCTAGATCTGCGAAACTGGTACTTTTACTCCAGCCGGTGAGGCAGAGGAAGGAACAGGACAAAAGTTTCGTTGACGGTCAGGGTCACAAATTATTGGCACAGAACGAGTGCATCAAAAAAATGGTATTGATGAAATGTCATTTAGTGATATCCAACGATGTTTTAAAAGACGGTACTTTTCGAAAAATAGTTCAACTAGTCTTGCCCCAGAAACGTCAGATAGACTGTTTTGTCCGAATTAACGGGTAACGACTGACTTTAAGAACAAGTAGGGTTGCATGGAACTTCAAATTCAGAAGCATAACAGATTACTGGGTCAAGCCGAATTATCGACTTGCACTTTTGAAGGATGGTGGCATATTTCCTTCAGGGGACTAATGAGGTTGCTTGGAAAGGCGTGAGGATTAGTGTTGCAACATTCTGGAATAAAGTGACGGTCGTCCTCATCTTTGAATAGTGCAAACTCCATTTATGCAATTGATACCTATAGGGGGGGCAGTCAGTATAAACTATCTGTGTCTGATAAGTGTCACAATGGTGCCAAAGGAGGTCCAGAGTGGCATAAGCTCTTCTCCCGACTTTTGGTCTTCCTAGATTGATATCATCAGTAACGTCACCAACAGCACTCACACAACGATCTAGATATACGAACTTTTTGACCAATGCTAGAGACTCATCAAAAAGCTTGGGAGTAGGCACAGTCTCCTTGAAGTTTTGAAGAATTACCTTACATTTATAAGACCCACGGTACAAATCATACCTCCGGAAATTGACTGCTAACTGATTAAGTGAGGATTGCATGGCTTGAGTATTTTCACATCCGAATTTTCAACATCCAAAAACCTATACCCGACGAACAAATCTACACCATTACCTACTTTAAATTAACCATACTTTCACAAGTTTTCTTTACTTTACACTTCAGTTATCTCCTTTATTTAGAGCTGCAAGGGTTTTTGCTTGTGATTTTTATGTTACCATTGTGGGATTATTTTTTCATGACTAAAAATTTTCTCAACAGGATTTAGATTTTTGAAAAACAAAGTCAAATACCTTATATTTTTCCAGGCACTTACATAATAAGGAACAACAAAGCTAAACTTCGTCGCTTTACAAATGATTAAACCTGTATAGTTTAGTTATGCAGAGTAAGTTAGTTTGTCATTAAGTCATTGCACCAGACTTACAACCTCCCATCAAGCATCTACAATCACCCGCACTTAGGATGAGGTTTGGATGATCTGGTTAAGTATTCTGAAGAAAAAGTATCAGTTTTCAGTGATAAGGATAAATGGATGGAAAAATTTACATTCCCAGTGAACAAGCCGAGGTTAGTTTATACAGAAAACCATTTGGGTGTATTTTCTGTGAATGATGAAAGAGGCTAGAGTCACGTAGTAATCCGATTATTAGTAGTGAGGAAATGGTTTAGACTCAGTTCTGAAAAAAACGACTCCCTACACACTCACACGGCACTTTCGTCGATGGAAAGTCGTCTGGTAGCAATAAGACGAAGTCGAAAACTCCCTCCAAAATAGTAACCACTTCGAACAGAAATAATCCCAAGCCATTCTAAAATTTAGTTATGCTATTCTAATGCCTACTGAGCGGATCAGTTTCACAGGGACTAAACAATAACTCCAGAAAGGTTTTTTAACTTCAGAATGGTCCTTTATTGGGAGATTAGGTTAGAAAATCGATAATACACTAACAATTCAGCTAAAATCTGGTAACCTTGACTGAGCATATTTTGTAGCGTTATTTTCGAGCGGTCATTCTATCTTAACAATATCCAATTTGACTTCCAAAGGTTTCTATTGTATGGAAAAATGTATGCCACTTAGATAGACTGTTTTGGGCCTTGTTGAAAAGTAGGTCGTCTTAAAAGTTTGGCAGGATGTCTGA